ATTGATAATGCAAAAATAAGTTTGTCTGAATTCCGTAATGACTCCGCTTTTGAAAAGCTTCTTAACAGCGCGAAAACTGTAGCGGAAGAAGTCGAGGCAATAGCAGAATTTCCCACACCTGCGCGCCCTCGCGCTCGTAAAAAGGTTTTTAATTATGAAGCGGAGGATGAACCGATCACAGACGCGAAAATACATTTTAAAGTTAATTTTTACTACTACTTATTAGATACCGCAATTACCAAGTTCGACGAACGGTTCGAACTTCTCAGCCAAAATAATGCAGTTTTTTCATTTCTTCAAAAATTGACACAATGGAAGGATTTGGACTCGGATACAAAAAAGCACATTGTTCTTATTTAGAAAATAAACTTTGGCTGGCTCTTCAAATGTAGAAAAGTTCGAGCTCTTTAATGAAATCGAATTATTATCGATGTTTATTGATGATTCCACTACGCCGTTGGATATTTTAAATTACTTGTTTACGAATAAATTGATTTCAGTAAGTATTCTCAAATCTGTCCACAGCACTGAGGATTTACAGGGTAGCACACAGCGAAAAGTCATTTTCTAAACTAAAAATAATTCAAAACTATCTAAGATCAACATTGTCGCAAAGTAGATTGACAAATTTATCGTTAATAAGTATTGAACATGAAATCAAAATTGAAGTCAGTGACCTTTTTAAAGATTTCGCTAACGCAAAAGCACGAAAAGTATTATTTTTGTAAAAACATTTGTTTGTGTGTATATTTGTGTGTACGAGTGTCCAGTAAGCTATTAAAGTTTTAAATTAAAAGAAGTATAAGGTTGTGATCTTTAATTGTTGTAATTTGCAGCCGAATTTTTTATGAAAACATAAATGTAAATATTCCATTTTGACCCCTCTCCTACTAGGGGGCGCCAGGGTACTGGCACACTGGCGCCACAAGGGCTAAAGCCGCCTCTGAATTACGGTAAGTTCTCATATAATGTACTCTATGGTTCTCATTAAAAACTTGAGTCGAATGATTCAAAAACTTGAAGCCATATAAATAGGGAAGATGCAATATTTAAATTTTTGTTTTCATTTTAAAGAATTCCATGTAGAATAAACCACAGATATACTAAAAAATTAAAACATTGTAACTTATCGGAAAAAATACGGTTTTAAATTGACAGTTTAAATTTTCGCGCGAAAACGGGCCTATTGTTCCGATGACGTCACTCCTGTCTGTCACTCTTGTCTTGTCGGTCGTACTTCTTCGTCGCTGGCTTTAAATTTTCATACTTTTGCATATTTTTTCGAGTTTTGAGATATTTTTTTGTAATAATTTAAAATGAACTATCCATCAACATCAGGTGATCATAACAATACCACTAATATTCCGAAAAAGCCGTGTTGACTCATATTTTGTGCCAATGTGTCCATCTACTTGAACAAAGTATCCAAATAAATTGTTTTTGCCTTTTGATTGAATTAATTTAATTGACCCAAAATTGAGAAAAAAGTGGTTTCAAGCTGCGAAGAGAAATGACAATTATTCTCCAAAGACCATTATTCGATGCTGTAAAGATCACTTTGACGTAAGTCGGCGAATATATTTGTTATGTGCTTAATGAATCTGCTTGTACGTAAAATCGCGTTAGTTACCCACCTAACTCTTACAAAACCTTTCTATAACATATTTTTAATTTTACAGTTGGAGAACGACGTCAAAAATTTGATAAAGTTTAAAATGTGTGGCACAATCTTCACATTGGCAGGACTGAACCAAGCTTTGCGTTTCATTTAAAATAACTGTAACACGATAACTTTCTTTACGTACTTTATGCTCCGGAGTAACTCGACTTTTTACTGTACATAATTCTCCATCTCTTTTAATTTGGACATAGCCGATAGCGTTTACGCCGTAAGATTCTCTTGTTGAGCTGAAATAACTGCTATATGAAGCCGCTGAATAAAATACAAAGTTTAACAACTATGATTTATACCTACCGTAGTTATTTAGTCCCTTTTCATTTCTACACCTGAAAACTGCACACTGGACAAAAAAAGTTACAACCATGTCAACACTAACTCTTGGTAATTTCCTGGAGTCTGCTTTGATAAACCCAACTTCCAATTTTATTAAAAAATCGCAATTAATATTCCCATAAAATAATATTCACTTTTATAACCATAATCTCAAATAAGTTGTCATAACAGGAGTGACGTCACTGAACGCTGATTGGTGTTTTAAAATAGGTTTTTTCCAAGTCATTTTTAATTCGTAATTATTGTTAAAAAACAACATTATGTAAAATAAAAACGTTGCAGTGGCCTTTCTTTTATATTTTTTTAACATTTTAATCATAACATTTTCATAAATATTGTATTTGCATCCAAAAGGGACTGTAAAAGAAAACTAAGCTCATGGCTACTTAAGCTAACATATGACGGAACAGAGGACCTATTGCTCACCGCAGGATAATACTTATACAGCTAAAATATCAGCTGTCTGTCTTACACTTATCATATCATCCACTCATATCTCTTATCTATTAGACAAGTCCGTCCGTCTGTCTGTCTGTGGTGCTGTTTCAGCGGCCAAACCGTAAGAGATAGATAAAGAGAATATTTAAGTTATAAGTTAAGAATAGTCTGATAAGACTACAAACCGGATTTGAGTAACGTAGCACTTCCGGTTTTCGAGAAATCACGAATTTCAAACGAAACCACACAAAATCTCCGAAGTTCTCAAATAATTAAATACATTTTTTTTAAATCAGGTTTTGGTGAACATTTGGTTCACTGGTTTGCTAGTTATGATTATAATCACGCTCACGTTTACACACACAAGCACACACACTCACACCAAATACACATACATACTGCATAGACTCATACATTACACCCTTTGTTTAACCTGTGACAATTAATATTAGTAAACTTTGTTAAATTAATATTCATGTTATTTGTTAACCAACATTGGCGATTCGAGGTGGTGGGAGCCTGATGACCTGTAAACTGTAACACAGGTAGATCGTATAATGCGATTCAAATAAGAATAGGAAAGCCAATGACCTCCATCTGTCAAATGTCGCTTGAAAAGTACGGTTTGCAAAAAAATCTCAGAACACTTTTTTAGCACTTAGCTAATTCTACAATAAAAACCAAACATTTTTAAACAAACAATAAGAAATATTGATAAATAATATTGGTTCATATTTTTTTTCTTTTCTTGAGCTTTGGCTATGAATGGTTGATAACCTAAATCGTCAAGCAAATGTCACATTATGTTGCGTTCAGAAACTCGATTTAAAACTTTCGTTTACATAAAGGATGCATGTTCGTATATGACCTGCATGATTATTCATAACTACTCCAGCGGTAATGCAGAGATGAGCGGAATTGAAGAGCTAGATTCTGATTAATGTTTTTTCTCACACAATCTTATTAAAGAAATATTTTAAAAAATCGGATGTGTGTTTTCTCGATCTTAGTAAATTAATTTTATTAAAAAATCTGATGTTTTTTCTCACTTAATCTTAGTTAATAAGTTTTATTAAATACAAACTTTTTTTTGCTCACTCTACCTGTTTGGTTTGAATTGACAGCTATGTCGTCACAATATGGCGCCCAGTCGGTCCTATTCTTAGTTGAATCGCATTCCACCTAGCACGGGCATCAGTCTCACGCAAATATTAATATAATCAACTATTTAAAAATTGTTATCGATGCCAAAATGTTTGTGATGAGAAATAAACGATTTATTATTATTATTAATTATGAGTCGAATATAGCCTTACTAAGTGTAGGTCCTGACCAGTGGCGGCCTTAGGAACTGCGAGGCCTCGGGTGACAGACCTTTGCGAGACTTTTTACCCGACTTCGCCGAAAGGATAGTCATGTTTTCAAAGTGTAAGTATATTTCCTTTGACAGGCTCTGGGGCCCAAACGCTTTGATTGATTTTGGCTTGAGAGGTGTAGTTAGATTCTTCTTAGTTGTGAGAGTGACACAGTGACAAAGGGGAGTTCTAAGGCACCCCTCGACCACACCTCACACACACCGCGGAACGTTGAACTGACGTTACATCACGTGACTCGTGACATATCGCACACTTTTTTAAACGTGCAGCCGGTGTTCAGTTCATCGAATTATAAGACGTTATCACGTCAAAACCCAACTGTTTGCAGATTTATTTTAAACTAGTGGCCCGCCCTCGCTTCGCTTCAGTATACAGCTATAGTGTAGTAGACTATAGTTTTTGTTCTCACGCTTGTATTTATGCACTTCTTTTGGTTGTAACGCTAATCTCAGGAAATACTGGTCTGATTTGAATAAATCTTTTAGTTTTGGATTGTACATTTATCTAGGAAGGCTAGAGGCTGTATAAAATCATGCTACAACTAGTAGAAGCAGAGCAACAATGAAAAATGATAGAAAATCGGGTAGAAATATTCCATTTGTGAGCTTTCCTCGCGTGCGCTGGGTAAACAGTTAAAGTAAGTCAAAAATCATGTATCACAGCGTTGTTCCTCTTTAAAAGTTCTACAAAAATATTTGCGACAGTATATGTCCATCTTCTAAGTTTGACTCACTATAACCCTTTTCCTCAAATAAACGCAGGTGAAACCAAAGGGGACCTCTTTAGTTGTGACAACTGTAATAGTTAGACATATGGTATTGCGGACTTTTTTGTAGATATAAATGTCTTCTTTAAAAATTCAGTACATCACTTTGCTCTATTGTCAATGACTTCCGCAGCATACGCGATAAAACGTAATTTTTTGGTATTTTTTTACATGTTGGGTTCCATTATCGAAATTTTCATACAGAACCCTAACGTTTGGAAATATTCTTTAGCCTATGTTCATTAGGGATAATATAGGATTCTAAAAGCGAAAGAATTTTTGAAATTGGTCCAGTTGTTTCGGAGCCTATTCAATACAAACAAACAATAAAATCTTTCTTTATAATTTTAGTATAGGCGAGGGTGGGTCCCTATTACTGGTAATAAAACAATATGTTAAAATGGTAAGATTGAAAAATATAATTTACTTAGAAAATTAACTATTTACAACTATATAATTAGCAAAGAAATAATTACACCTTTAGGCTTCTATGGCAACTTTCAAAGGCTTTTCTTTTGTTTTAAGTGGTTTCTCTGCAACATCTCTGTTTTCTGGCAGTTTATCTGAAGGCACATCAGGTAGTTGGTCTTTTACATCTAATATTGCTTCAAGTTCAGCTTCAACTGCCTCTTCATCTTCATCAGTTAATTGGCCTGAGATGAGTTCATCTAATTCCTTTTGTTTTTCTATACCTTCCCTTGTTTCATCCAAAATCTTTTCGATTTCATCAATATTCAATATGTCATGAACTTTCTTCAATGCAATGTTTCCTGTTTTTAATCCATCAAGTACCTGTAGACAAATAAAAAAATGAATTACACATAACTAAAACCCTACAAATAAAAAAAATGAATTACACATAACTAAAACCCTTTAAGTATAACTTTTTTTAAATAACAGCCTTTCTTGTGGCGTGGCCAGCAGTGGTAAAACTATGGGCATAATGATATGCCATTGATTTAAGAAGGGACAGGATTAGCATGTGTTATTTCCCCCTCACAGTGAAAAATTAAAAAATACTTATACTCTCTCCAGAGCAAAATATTAAATATTGTCAAAATCAGCAAAATCTCTTAAAAACAATCCGACAATATAAGAGTTTCATGACTATGGTGTCAATTCTGGCTTGATTCTCTAAACTTAAAACTTAATTTAAGGTAAGTCTCACCTTTTCATTCTGTATAGAGAAGGACAAGGATGTACTGTTGTCAAATTTAAGTTTAGCTTTAGAGAATCATGCCAGAATCGACACCTATGTCAAGATAAATAAGATCTTAGTTTTATTTTGCAGATTCTACAGTTTTAACATTCTGATTGGCTCAGCTTTCCATTATATGTAATTGAGTTGCAAGCTGAAATTTTTGTCACGCAAAGTATTAACTATTATAAACACGTACACGAAATCTTTTTAGGCGGAAACGAATAGAACTCGAGAAAAAAAATATTGAAAATTAATGGTTTTGTAGGTTATGAGTCAATTTTGACAGAAATTTTGATCAGTGCTGCCATTTTTTTATGCAAAAATAACATGTTTCTCGTTGTCTATGGTAAATATAAGTTTATTAAGTTGGTGCTATTGTCAAAATGTGACAATTTACCGCCATTAATGAGATCTGTCAGTCAGTGTTTGTGTTCGTCACAATTGAGAGCTTTTTCGTACTCCTGTTGATATTAACATCGTCTGACTACCATGGCATCCTCAAAGCCTTCGGCCTCGAGTTCTGCTGTCCCTTCGCCTGAAGAGTCGAGTGTAGTGCGAGTTTTGGACTCTAATGAGCCGCTTGTATGGTGATACTTCACACTAGGTTAGGTTAGGTTAGTGTTGTGACCTTAACGCGCGAGCCGAGCGAGCGAAGCGAGCGTGCCGCGGGAGCGGCCGGCGAAGTGCCAGAAAGAAAAATTCGTTAATAGAGACTTTTTCTACAAAAAAATCTAGGCCCTGGAAGTACAGTTTTACCTTTAAAACCCCTCTAATTTTTTATAATTATCATTTCTGTAAAAAAAAAACGCCGGGAGGGGGGGGGTTACCCTTCCCTCTGAGGAGTCTTCCCTTATACCTATCCCCCTGAAATTCCACTACATTTAACAGATTTAATGAATTTTTAGGTTAGGTAAAAAAAAAACTGCATTTCCGCCAAAAATCTTTTATGGCGGGGGGGTCGGGGAGAGCCCCCCCTCCCCCTCCCCTACAAATTACCCCGAAATTCGATTACATATAATGGAATTAAGTACCTTCTGATTTTGAGTATTGCATATTATGCTCTGAAGGGAGACTTATCATTTTTGTATTTGTATGATTTATTTAGCGTGATATTGAAAACCTTATAATATTTCTTATGAGTTCAGTTTTGTGTAAATTTAAAAAAATACCATCCATGCTGAGCTAGGAGGACCTGAGGACCTAATTTGTAATAAATGAAAAAAATAAAAACCCATCTAACCTGTACTTCAATCTGGGCGAATTCGATATCATGAGTCAATTGCTCCAATTTTTCTAATTGTGACTCAGTATTTTGTAGCAATTGTTCTTGGTATCTTTTTTTCTTCAACAGAAGTTTAGCTTTCTCTCGTTTATCTTCCGATAAAAGTTTCTTAGCCAATTGACGGTCTTTTACAAGGTTGTTTTCTATTCTTCTCTGATATTGTTTCAGCTTATCTCTCTGTTGTTTGAGCTGTAAAATTGCTTTATCTTGTTCCGTTACTCTACTGACTTGTTTCTTGGATTTACCAAATAAAGCACCCATTTTTATTAAATTTATTCTGTTTATTTACTTAAAACATCTTCTTAAAAACTTATCACTTATCGTCATCTATGTCTAACTAAAATAATGAATGATCATTAAATTTTTCTAATTGTTCAATGATTCAGATTCAATGAAACAATTTTTTTTTTAATAGTTTAACGGCCTTGGATGAAATCCATACAGCCAATTCTTCATTATTAGGAATTCAATGAAACAAGAATCACCAACAACACATTTTTTTTTGCTTAAGTTCTCGCTTTTCAGGGAAGGCAAGGGGTACAATGCCCATACAGCCTAGTCTTAGGTTAAATTTTTCTGTTTTTCTTTTTACATTAGAATGTCGGTGTGACGAAGTTAAATTTTTCTGTTTTTCTTTTTACATTAGAATGTCGGTGTGACGCATTCTAATGTTTCTTGAAGTATTTGGCACGAAATTTATCGAGCTGGCTTTTTCGATAAGCTTCTGTGAGGTAGTCAATACTACAATTCTCACGTCCCCTTGACCGGAATAGCGCATATTTTGACGATTCTACTAATTCTTCAGTTACGCAGACGGTTGTAACACAAAATCACACCAATTTTATTTCACAATATCCACTATGAACGAATTTAAGAATAATTAAAATAAGACGCCCACTCGATGAAATCCCGCCAAAAACTCCACATTTTTTTTTATTTAGAAATTTAACGGCTTTGGACAAGTCCATACAGCCTATACATTAGTAACATTCTTGGTTGATTGTAAAATTCTCTTCAAATGTTCATAAAAGTAGAAGTAATGGGACCGATTCTTTCGTTACATTCTCTAAACCTAAACTTAAAATTAGAGAGCTAATTTTAGTTTAGGTTTAGAGAATTGGTATTCTGAAATTGCGGACTAACTAAATTAAGAACACAGTTGACAGCTGTAAACGAGCATCTCTCGGAGCAATTAACAAGCTAATTGCTCCGAGGAGCATCTAAATTGAATTCACAGATTATGTAAAAGCATTGAACCGGTAATTATCGGTTTACTCAAATTAGCAATAAATACTTATTATTCAGTGATTTTTACTAATTTCGGTAATTCTTTGTCATCTTCATCATCTTTGAAATATGGGAACTTAACATAAGTTTGTTCTTTTACTATATGAAAAATTATGAATCAACATTAAAGAGTGAATACTTGCCTACTCTGTGGTACTTAGGGTTTCTAGATTAGGAGTTTTTATCCTTATTTTGGGGAAAAAGTATGATCTTGGAGAAATTAAATCTGCGGGGAGAACTTTAGGAATCATATTTTTTCTTAGAGCATGCCTATGCATTTTTTTGGCAAAAGGATGGGGAAAGCCACCACTTTTAAAATTAAATTTAAATATAGGTACCAACTAGATTATGGTAGCGAACAAATTTATTAAGGATGATCAGTGACGATAGACCGTGTCGAGTCCGAGCCGAGCTTCAGCCGTAGCACGGTCACCGAGCCGATCCCGTACCTGTAATTTACAAAGACGTGCCTCAACCGAGCGATTAGGTAGGTACCGTTGTGCCGTGATACAGTTTATTCATTCAGATAAATTAAATAGGGTAAGTGTACTCGTTCGAGCAAAAACGTTTTTTTATTTGTCTCTCTGATGCGTAGGTAAGCCTCTTAAGGTCTGTGATTTGTCTGAGGTATCAGACAAATCACAGACCTTTAGAGGCACTACGAGGCACTACGATACACACAATCACTACGATTGCCTGGCGGCTCCGCGCCGGCGCTGTATTCAGGCAACGGGCCGTGTAGTCTAGTCAACAAGTGCCTTTTTGGTCAACTTTTTTCAGCAGTCTCCGAAAATTATGATCGAGGTGTCATTCGATTCGGAATGGCATCTAGATGATTTTTGAAAAAAATAAAGTTCGCAAACAAAAATTGCAAAAGTTATTAACAATAAACTAAAAAAAAAAGGTGGGGTTTTGTTTTGTGCAAATATCTCGAAAACTAATAAAGATATTTAAAATTAAAAAAAAGAGGAGGAAATTTCCTAAAAAAAAGCCCCGACTCCCGGAACTGTAGGACCTATATTTATAATTTTCCCAGAGGGATGAAAATACGGCCGAAAACGGCTCCTCTGGCTTGCGTAAGCCACGCCTACTTTGGGCACTTTATTAATAAAAATTATTTTAACATGTTAAATATAAAATTTTAGAAACGAAAAAATTCAGGGGCTTACTGGATAGATGAATGAACAATAATCCGCGTGAAAAATTTTTTTATCACAATTTTTCAATTAGTTATGCAATTGTTAATTAAAAATTTTTTTCCGCTTGAACATGAACATTGCAAGTGTGATTATTGTTAAACTATAAATTTGAGATTTTTTTCCTCTCTTGGAGCAATTCTTGTAAGGCTTTAGAATAGATCCCCGTTGGAAAAATTAAAAAAAATATATTATTCAGTTTTTTATTAACAATTATCGTTGTAGCCAAATTTAGCTGAAAAGTTTAGTTGTTACTAATTTAAAGAAAATATAACTAGAAAAAATTCCACGCGGACCAGGCAGCAGACGGGACTCGAACCCGCACCCTTCGCAATCCGGGCGAATGCACTGACCAATTATGCTACCGCGGCCCTCACGGACCGCGTCGAAATTCCCTCTAGCTATTCTTAAGCTGCAAGGCAGCGCCATCTCTTCGCATTATAGGTAAACCCACAATGTCAAATGAATACTTTTACAAGTATTAAACATTTGAAAGAAGAAATAGCAATTATAGTTATTATTTTTAAAGCATGTAACTGCTTGATGTTTAAATCTAAAGAAAATATAACTAGAAAAAATTCCACGCGGACCAGGCAGCAGACGGGACTCGAACCCGCACCCTTCGCAATCCGGGCGAATGCACTGACCAATTATGCTACCGCGGCCCTCACGGACCGCGTCGAAATTCCCTCTAGCTATTCTTAAGCTGCAAGGCAGTGCCATCTCTTCGCATTATAGGTAAACCCACAATGTCAAATGAATACTTTTACAAGTATTAAACATTTGAAAGAAGAAATAGCAATTATAGTTATAATTTTTATTATTTTTAAAGCATGTAACTGCTTGATGTTTAAATCTAAAGAAAATATAACTAGAAAACATTCCACGCGGACCAGGCAGCAGACGGGACTCGAACCCGCACCCTTCGCAATCCGGGCGAATGCACTGACCAATTATGCTACCGCGGCCCTCACGGACCGCGTCGAAATTCCCTCTAGCTATTCTTAAGCTGCAAGGCAGCGCCATCTCTTCGCATTATAGGTAAACCCACAATGTCAAATGAATACTTTTACAAGTATTAAACATTTGAAAGAAGAAATATATATAAGGTCCGCGTGGAATTTTTTCTAGTTATATTTTCTTTAGATTTAAACATCAAGCAGTTACATGCTTTAAAAATAATAAAAATTATAACTATAATTGCTATTTCTTCTTTCAAATGTTTAATACTTGTAAAAGTATTCATTTGACATTGTGGGTTTACCTATAATGCGAAGAGATGGCGCTGCCTTGCAGCTTAAGAATAGCTAGAGGGAATTTCGACGCGGTCCGTGAGGGCCGCGGTAGCATAATTGGTCAGTGCATTCGCCCGGATTGCGAAGGGTGCGGGTTCGAGTCCCGTCTGCTGCCTGGTCCGCGTGGAATTTTTTCTAGTTATATTTTCTTTAGATTTAAACATCAAGCAGTTACATGCTTTAAAAATAATAAAAATTGTTACTAATTTATTTATTTAATTTATAGCAATTGGTTATAAAAAATACTTCAGGAAAATTTTTAATAGTTGATAAGATTAAAAAATACTTCAGGATTTTTTTTTGCTTTAATGCTTAAATTAAAGCAAAAAAAAAAATTCCTGAAGTATTTTTTATAAACAATAGGCTAGTTGACTCATGTCGAATTGTATTAAATAAATGTTTATTTCTTAAAGTATTTGGTCTAAGGAACCTAAATATATCGATTTCACTTCATAAAAGCAGAAGATTGCCGTAGAAATTTAATTTAAAAAAAATATTTTTAGTCTATATATTTTAAACACTAAAAACGCTGTTCGCCACATCCGCCATGATTGTGACGTCTCTTTTAGTAAACAACTAAATGTCATTCATACATAACTTTAAAACTTGTATTATTAAAACTGATAATAAATGAAGAGACTTAAAATATTATTCAATGAGTACTTACATCAAAGTGATCTTCGCAAAAATAAATTTTACTATGAGTCGATAAAGTTGCAGGATCACTTTTAGCAAGTTCTAACCAGGTATTGCGTAGGTTAATTTTTTTCGGCACTTTAATCCACAACTTTCCTGGAGTCTTCAAGGTTCTTACATTCTCGTACAATACAATAATGATAATTACTATATTTTTCGTGGTGTCTATTAGAAATCATGTTTATTTTATTATTATAAACTCAGATAGGTTATTTTCTACGTGCTTACGAGTTTTTGTTTACTACCGTCAACGACATAGCATAGATAATCTATAGACTAAAATGGCCGACAGCGTTTTTGTATGTCCATGAAAAGTCTATTTTAAAATTAAAGATTTGTAACTTTCTAGGTCTCAAAAAAATACAATACATTTTTTTTCGGTCTAATAGAACATTTATTAACCATTTAAAACCTTTTTCCAAAAAGGGTCAACTAGCCTATTGCTAAAAACTGAAAATTATTGTTTTTTTAATTTTTCCAACGGGGATCTATTCTAAAGCCTTTCAAGAATTGCTCCAAGAGAGGAAAAAATCTCAAATTTATAGTTTAACAATAATCACACTTGCAATGTTCATGTTCAAGCGGAAAAAAATTTTTAATTAACAATTGCATAACTAATTGAAAAATTGTGATAAAAATTTTTTTCACGCGGATTATTGTTCATTCATCTATCCAGTAAGCCCCTGAATTTTTTCATTTCTTAAATTTTATATTTAACATGTTAAAATAATTTTTATTAATAAAGTACCCTAAGTAGGCGTGGCTTACGCAAGCCAGAGGAACCGTTTTCGGCCGTATTTTCATCCCTCTGGGAAAATTATAAATATTGGTCCTACAGTTCCGGGAGTTGAAGCTTTTTTTTAGGAAATTTCCTCCTCTTTTTGAATCTTTTTTTTAATTTTAAATATCTTTATTAGTTTTCGAGATATTTGTAAAAAACAAAACCCCCCCTTTTTTTTAGTTAATTGTTAATTACTTTTGCAATTTTTGTTTGCGGAACTTCATTTTTTTCAAAAATCATCTAGATGCCATTCCGAATCGAATGACACCTCGATCATAATTTTCGGAGACTGCTGAAAAAAGTTGACCAAAAAGGCACTTGTTGACTAGACCGAGCCGAGGCGAGAGAACAAGTTTTTTCCGAGCGTTGTTTCATTTGTTGCTCGGTTGTTAGTCGGTTACCGCCCGGAATAGCGTGAATGTGTCCATAATCCATGTAAAATATATTATTTAATATTAGTTCACTACTAGTTGAAGTTAAGCAACTTTCGCAGTGGTCGGTCATTGGATGGGTGACCAAAAATCTTCTATTTCGAGTTCCTCCGGCTGCATCTGCAGTCGTTAGCACCCGCCAATCCGCACTGGGCCTGCGTGGTGGGTCCTGGCAATCTCCCTATTTCATCCATAGGGAAGGCCTGCAACGGGGACATTAATAGGCTGATGATGTTATGATTAGTTAACTCTGCTACGGCCGACACGGTCTAACGTGAATCATCCTTGAAAATTATATTGTTTTAAACTTTCATGGTCACTAACATGAAAATTTCTCGCATGGTACATTCCCAATCCAGCACATCTATCTAATACCTACTCGTAGGTACCTACGGTTTTAAATTTCGGTTTCGGTAAGAGGTTGTAATTATCCGCTCGGCTGTTTTGTGAAGATTTTATTCTCATTTATGGTTTAATTCGAGATGCGTAACCTATTATTATCTTTTTTGTTTCTATTAGTTTTTAGCGAGATCGTCCCAAATCCCAATTATTCATTCGGTGAAGATGCCAAGTACTTTCGGATATATAAAAACAAACTTCTCAATTACAAACAGGAGGAACTTATTTCGTGTTTGGTTATTTTGAGAAATATGATTAGCTTATAAACGGTTGGATTTCAAAATATTTCTAAAAAATATTAAAAAATGCTTCATAGAAACAAAACCACTAAAACCAAAGGAACAAATAATACATTAAAGTCTAAAAATTGAATTGGAATTGGTGATTGGAATGCATATCACTGACACCATACTTTCTTGTAAATTATTTGACTATGTACTTTAGATATAAGTAAGATCTGTAGGTATTACTTATAGAATTAATACATAGATGTCTTACCTTTTTAGCTTGTTTTTTATATGAAGTGGATTCTTATTTATGTTAAAAAAGATTTTACCTTAAATTATTTTGTATTTTATACAAGATATACGTATACATTACCTACGAAGGACCACAATAGCGCAAGTGTAACGCGTTCGTTCTGCGATCGTGAACGTTAAGCAACTTTCACAATGGCCGATTTTAGGATGTGTGACCAACCAAAAATGTATTAAATCGAGTTTCTATGTTGCTGCTCGCTGCATCTGCAATCATTAGCCCCCACTAAGACGCATTAGGCCTGCGTGGTGGCTCATGACACATTAATAGGCTCATAATAAATCCGCATCGTACCATAGACTTACCTACCTTTAAAAAAAAAAGAAAAGATCTAGCTAATATATTATTATCACCGTCGTCGTGATTATTATATCATGATCATTATTGTATAAAATTTATGACTTTATTTTAACGAAATAAACCCATATCCAACCTTAACAACAAGTTCAAAACTTAAGTACATCAATCATTTCCCTACTATTTGGCCCGATTATTCACATTTAAATTTAGAGAGGACCTCCGTAGGTCCTTCTTAAATTTAGTGTGACATTTCTAATTTTAGAATGACAATAAAACTAGTTTTTACGGGTTAATGCACGAAACTTTATTTATTTATTGACGTTTCGCAGCCTTTTCAGGTCTGCATCGTCAGAATGACGATGACGATGCAGACCTGAAAAGGCTGCGAAACGTCAATAAAACTAGTTTATTTAATGAGTGATGTGCGTGAAAACCTAAGAAAATATGACATTTAGAATGCGTTTCAGACCATTATTTCAATCATCTAAATCTAAGTTGAATAACTTAGCGACGTCAATTTTAAATTTAGAGATAGTGTGTCATTACAGAATACCAAATTGAATTTGACCACTATATCTAATTTTAGTTAGTTTTAGATATAAGTTGGCACGCCAGAATTGGGCCCAATTGTAATATTAAATGCACTGTACTTACATAGATGCCTTGTCGTTTCTCTGCTCCGCAGAGCAGAAATCGGGGTTTAGTGCAAAAAATTCACCTACCATCAATGCGTCAATTCTTGGCAGATTTGTGCTTTCTGCTTTCACAACGCCGGCATCCATAATTAGTTTTGTAAAAAAAAAAACAGTAAACAGAAACTTTTCTAATGTTAAAAAAATTTAGTCAGACGAAAGAATCTACCCACAGTAACACGCGAATGACATTTCGTTGTTTACTACAACAAGAGACCAGTGTTGCCATGTTGCTAGATTGTCAGTTTCTATTACCCCAAAAAGTTGCTAGAAGTAGCTAAATCTTCCAGTAGGTGAAAAAGATATTATATTACAAGAAGGTATATCAACACTGACGTATAAAAATGAGTTTGAGACCTTTATTTTAAAAAGAAAACCTTGTAAACTAAAATTATCATACTAGTTTTTCCCGTCGAAAAAGTATGTTTTCAACAAAACGAGTTTTAAATTCACGTACCTGTTTGGAACTCTACTTCTGTCTAAGTTTTTTTGTCCTAGTATGTTTCTTTATGTCAAATAGTTTATGAAGAATTTCCGTCGAACAATTAGTACAAAACGCTTTGCTTGAATCTCCACTTGCTGCTTAACCAGCCTGTCTGTATTTCTGTGCGTATGTTTTTTTTCTCAAGGGTTAGTCCATTTTTACATTAAAAACAGCGAGCATTAGTTTTATATGGATAAAAAAACACTGGGTAGAATACGAGTGGTGCGTACTACTTTGGTTTAGTAAATAAGTACCCACGTTCTGTCATAGTGTATCCTTTCGTAGCGCAACATTAAATGGGGAATTCCCGGGTAAGGCCGACCTACGACCAATACCATAGTATCTATATGAGTCGCAGTTTTTATTTTTTCGTTAAAGATTTGGTACCCTACTCTATGAATCTCTCATGAAATGAAAAGTTGCTAGAAAAAATAGTTAAATAGTTTAGCTACAAATTTTATTAAATTGTAGCTGTGTGATACCAAATAATAGCTAGACCTAGCTATAAAGTTGCTAAGATGGCATCACTGCAAGAGACGTCACAATTATGGCGGATGTGGCGAACAGCGTTTTTAGTATTTAAAAAATATAGACAAAAAAATATTTTTTTAAATTAAATTTCTACAGCAATCTTCTGCTTTTATGAAGTGAAATCGATATATTTAGGTTCCTTAGACCAAATACTTTAAGAAATAAGCATTTATTTAATACAATTCGACATGAGTCAACTAGCCTATTAGTGAAATCTTTAAAATATACGCTATTTCGGTCAAGTGGACGTGAGTATTTGTTGAAGTTGATGTCTACCTTACGGAAGCTTATCGAGAAAGCTGACTCGAGACATTTCGTGCCAACCACTCCAAGAAACAAAAGAATTTATCAAACCCACATTCTAATACAAAATTAAACTGAAGAATAGGCTGTATAGGCATTGTTCCCTTTGTCTGCCTTGAATAGGAACAACATTATTAAAAAAAGCTTTCTTTTTTTTTTTGACGAAGAAAGAAACCGTGAAGTGGAAAATAAAATATTGTAATAGAAATTGATTTTTTATGAATACTTTATTAGCAATAAATATTCTTTCATAAAATAGGTGGTGTTGTTGTTAGTAAAGGAGACGAGTTATCTTCTATCTATTGTGCATAAGTTTTATGTGCAACTATGGCAGTGCTTGCTGCTGCTCAGTTGTTGGATGAGTTGATGGGCAGACATCGTAATACAAATCCCAATGAGAAGATAAAGAAGCCCAACTGGGAGGACCCAGAGGTATAACATTCATATGAAATTTATTCTAACCTTTCAAAGCCAGCTACTGACTGTGATGGCACCGCAGTCATTAATAGCCGTGCGTCTGAGTTCATGTTTTTCATTAAATATTGATTGAAAGCTACACTTTATGAGAAAATAACCTTTAGTTTGATAATTCAGGTTTTCAAGTGGCCTTCTATCATTAAAGCTTAGTAGTCAGTTCTGCAATTGATTTGACGAACCGATAGTACACATTATTTTGTATATATTTTCTGTGTGTGTCTGTGAAGACATGCAAGAGATTAATTAAGATTTAATGCGATATTTTCAACTGTATCTGTCCACTCATTTTGATCTGTTGCTGATTGTAGTATAGGTACCTACTAGGAAACATCTTGAGTAAAACCATGATCAAAGAAACTTGAGCAGCAGATGATGTTTAGGCATGATTGGCTATGGCTTATGCACAAGATACTCACGGGTACCCATTATGATTGCAAAATTACTCTAATTCTGATATGAAGCTACAACACACTGGATTTATGTACTTAATTGCAATAAGTTTGAAATTTAAATGTGCTAGCTTATCTAATCTTATGTAATGCTTGGTAGAGTTTATATTATAAATTATTTCTTATTATGAGTTATTCCATATTCAGAGGTGGCATTCTCTGTTTATAATTTAAGTCTAAACTCTGCTTTTAATCTTCTTATTATTTTTTGATAATGTTATAGTAAACTAAGGCCTGTATTATAGAAAGATTCTCAGTGATTGATCTAGTCTTTAGCGCAGTTAGAAAGGGATGTTGCTATATATATCCCTTTCTAACGCAACTCAAAGATCAACACTTAGTTGTCATTCTGTAATACGAACCTAAGTATCTAAGTTTATCACTTCTGATTGGTATAATTTATTTCAGTATTGCAAATACTACATGGTGAAGTTCTGTCCTCATGATTTATTTGTGAACACTCGAGCTGATCTTGGTGTGTGTCCCAAAGTTCATGATGATGAAGTGAAGGTTCTCTTTGAAAAAGCAGAGCCTTCATATAAGAAAGCACAACATGTGGAGGAATTCCTGCGATTCTGTCGGTACATGATTAATGATGTGGAAAGTAAGTACTACCTTTTCCAAACTGTATTTTAATACTGTATAAATTAGGTTTCGTTTTAGGATGTGGGAAATGCCAGGTATTTTAAAAAGAAGCTGTTTGCATGCTGCTTACTTATAGGGCAACTGATTGTTTACCTCCCTCTTAGCTAAAAATGAAAACAAATATATATTTAAATTCTGAAATGTATACAAAGTGTATCTATGTGTATTTTAATGTTGTTATTTGCTCAGGAAAAATAACAAAAGGAAAGCAAAGACTGGAGTTAATGAACTCTAAACCAGAAGGGCCACCCATGACTCAAGCTCAGACAGAAAAAAACCAAGAACAGGTGAGTGTTTTGTTATTTCATTCTTTTTTCTTAAAAATCATTTAATTTTGTTTAAGTGCTACTTATTTTCTATTTAAGTTTTATTTTACTTAGGGAAAACAGAACCGCTTACCAAAACAGAATGAACACTGCAATATAATATTTAGCTTGATTTTATCATCCTCCGTTGTCAAATTACTATGGAGTTTGGCAGTGACATGCCATAATAACATGATATAATGTAAATTGTAACAGATAGAGAGTGTTGTTAGAGGGACCAAGCTGAATTTTTACTTGTTTCTTAGGTTTTCCCGCACATCACTCATTAAATATGAATTTTTACTACCTACTTAACTAAAACTAAATCTTTTAATTATTTTTTCTCATGCTGAACTTGAGTGGCATCTATTTGAATGATATGAAGTAATTAATTAACAAATCAACTTTTACCTTGTGTTTATTTGTTACAGGTCCAGCTATTATCAGAGAAAATATCTTCTTTGGTCCAGGAGGCTGAAGAAGCAGGAACAAGGGGTGATGTGGAACAAGCCCAAGGGCTTATGAAGTTATGTGACAGGTTGAAGGAAGAAAAAGATCAGTTGTTGAAACAGCAAGAGAATAGGTATAATAATAGAGCTATCCCTCCTACTAATATTATAAATAGGAAAGTTTATATAGATGTTTGTTATTCTTTCATGATAAAACTACTGAACAGATTTGGATGCAATTTGGTAGTATAGTTTATGACCTGGATTGAGACATAGGATACTTATTATCCTGGAATATATTAGGTTCCTGTGGGATTCACAAAAAAGTAAAGTTAAAGTAGACGTAGTGGCAGGCAGCTGCTATTTTTATCATAGTCTTTAAAATGAATTAATTTTGTCATTAATTGAATTTATTTTTATAGTCATTGGTCTATGACTGCTGAGTTAGCTGCTGCGCAGGAAAAGCAGATGGAAGTTTGTCCAGTGTGTGGTGCATTTCTCATTGTCGGTGATGCTCAGCAGCGTATTGATGACCATCTTTCTGGAAAACAACATGTCGGGTATGTACTGATAAGATTAATGTGATTGCAACTGTGTTTTATGACATATCAATGATTATCTTTTTAAAAACATGTCACTCAATTTTAATACAGATTAAAAATTCCAAGTATTGCTTAGTTAGCTGGTGGTCCAATCCAAATATTAAAAGGCAGAAAGCTGAAAGATCCTAACTTACTAAAAACGAAAAGAAATGTTGGAATTTTATTACAAAAAAAAGGCTAGAGTTATGAATTTTGTAGTAGTTTCTGATGTTATGTCTAATTATTCATACAAACTTTGTCTTCAACAGTATGAATAATACAAAAACGATAAGTCATATTATGTGGCACTTTAAAGATATCCTAGTTAACCTTAATAGCTTAGGGTAGGTAGAGTGGTATTGTTGCACCTAAAATATAATCTGTACTTCACAAAATTTTCTTTGTTACAGGTATTTCAAACTTCGCCAAGCTTACGAGGAAATGAATGCTGCTAGGGAGAAGGAACAACAAGAGAAAGAGAGGAAGCGTAGAGAAGAAAGGGACAGGGAGCGCAGTTCCCGAGCTGGCGGTCTTGGATCTGACAGGCGCGACAGAGAGCGCATGGAGCGCGACAGAGAACGCGATAGAGACCGCAGCGATAGGGGCGACCGTGACAAGGAGAAGGAAAGAGATAGGGAACGCCACCGGTTTGTTGATGTGATACTACTTGTCATTCATTTCCTTCTTGTCAGAGTGGTCTTGATGATGATGAGGCACCTCACGCTCATTTCCTTTTCTATTGTTGGATACAACATCTTCTTCAGCTTCTTAATTTTCTTTGATATTGTTGTAACCAACACAAAAGAAAAAAAAGAGCTCAGGGCATTTGAAAATCTTCAGCGGTCAGAAATAACAAAATGAAAACGTAAGCGATAGCGAAAGCCATAGCAATCCCATTAGGCGATTGGCCCTCTGGGGAGGGGGCAGATGTAGCTCGCCTTACGATGTCTCGCCACCTAGTTCTATTCGTGGACTGCCTGGTGCATTAATAGGGCCTCGGATGGGAGATTTAATTTAATAAGTCCATCTCATGGATGACCTGCCATGTGATATGGCACCTTCCACTTTACATAAGTATTAATATTTTAAATGATAATATATTTCGAGACTAACTTCGTTTGTTTGTTATGCTGCCATACATTATTCATTAAATAGAATTGATTTTTGAATAGGGTGAATTAGGCTTTGATCAATAATTCTAAAGATAACAAGTTGCATACAAAATGGAACCTAAAAACTGTCGGCATATGTTTAAACTTATGCAGCTACATTCGATTCCCAATGAACAACAGATAAATGTTTTAAAACAGTTGAACCTAATAACAACTATCTCACAAAGGAATAAGGTTACAAATAACAGAATGTTATTTCGCACATACCACCGAACATTAGGTACATTAGGGGATAAAAGTTTGCTTTGAATTTGTTATTAATTTTGCGATAAGATCTTTATAACAGATATTTTTGTTTGACCATTGTATATACAACTCTACATTCATAGTTATCGTAAAAAAACATATTTTTTGTGAGAACAATATCTAATATAGTTAATTACTACATACAATAGGTCAAGTCGTGATGACAAGAGCAGTCGCGACGATAAGAACAACCGCGACGAGAAAGGTGGTCGTGACGAGAAGAGTAGCCGGGACGAGAAGAGTAGCCGAGAAGAGAAGGGTGGTAGCCGAGACGAGAAGAGTGGCCGAGACGACAAGGGTCGCCACGAGGAGAGGGACCGCGAGCGGGAGCGAGACAGGGATAGGGAGCGTGATCGCGATCGCGACCGCAGGCATCGTAGAAGTGAGTTATTCCTCGATTTTACCAACAAATTAGAAATGAAATGGAAGCATTACTTTCTAACAAAGACCACTAAGACTGGGCGCACACGGTTTCCTGATCAAGAATACCGATTCGGAAACCCGAATGCACGTCTTTACATACAAAATGTTCAACAGGGCGCACAATATTTTTTTTTCTTAACGGGAAAACCTAACTTAGGCTCACGGAATTCCGGATAAGGAAACGGTACACCGTGTGCGCCCAGTCTAAATCATGGTTCCGAACTCATACAACTAAACTGCAACACTAATGCAACACGCACACAGACAAAATATTTTGACAAATCAAATATCTGCAATTTTATTCGGCTATCCATTCATTAGATAAGAGAGTGTTTAAGAGCCCTTTCACATTTCTTGCGATAAATCGCATTTTTTGAGTGCCTCTTTTACCCCCTTAGAAGATATTTTGACTATTTCCAATAGAAGTAAACAGTAGATTTATTCTTCCTATTGTAAGTTAATGTAGAATATTTGGAAATACTATTTTCCTTTTTTTGTACGATTGTTCTACTGCAGCTAGTTTACGGAAAAAACGATAATATGCCCAACTTCAAACGCCTCAATCTCTCAATAATGTTCAATAAATTAGATCAAATTAATTACTACGATATCAGAAATATGTTTTTGTTGTAACATAATGTATTAGAATTTTAATTTTCCATCTCATTAATTATTAAAAAAACATCTAACATCCGTGAGTTTTCCCAAAAAATAACGCAGGTTTACCTCGTATTTTGATATTGAATTAAATAGAATTAACTATCAAAAACTTTCATAAAATTAATCTACAATCATTGTAATAACTGAAATATGTATATATTTTACGCTCCGTGTGATCGAGTAGCAGATTGTAAAGGAAGCGATGACAGGGGATGAGTTTGAAAGCTGCTAGCAAACTCGCTGGCTTGTATACCCCCTTTTCATTGAGGCTTATATTTCTCGATCGCAGGCAAAATGCGCTAACCACCTTCGCCATCGAACTCCTGTGTGTATGACAGAAAAAGGCGCTTTGTTCTAAGCCGACCTAGCTTGGGTTACTTTGCGGTAGTTAACAGCCACACATCAAATCAACAAAAACTATAATTTTCTAAATAAAATGTGAATCTTCATTAGCATCAGCCTATTGATGTTCCCACTGCTAGGGCACAGGCCTCTTTTATGGATGGAATAGGCTATGAACCACCAAGAAGCCCAAATGCAGATTGGTGGGTGTTAACACAGCCAAAACCAACAGCTTAGCTTGGCTTCTTAACCATTGAAACGGATATAATAACTTTTGATCACTTATCCAGGGGAATCTTCATCAGCATCAGCCCTTTGATGTTCCCACTGCTAGGGCACAGGCCTCTTTTATGGATGGAATAGGCTATGACCCACCAAGAAGGCGAAATGCAGATTGGTGGGTGTTGACTCAGCAGTAGGAACGGCTTGGCTTCTTAAGCACTGAGACGCATATAATAACTTGATCACCTATCCCAGGCATGGCTCGCGGTCTATCTCCGTCCCTGTAATGGTTGAAGTTCAGGCGGCGAACATGAAACAAAAAAAAAAAAAAACATTTGTCACATGTTCCGGCAATCCGGCAGCCGAAGTAAATATGTATTCCGCAACATATTTACTTGGTAACAAACTTCGTAGTATGACTGGCCTGAGAAACTAAGGCCCGTATTACAGAATGATAACTAAGTGTTGATCTTTACTTGAGTACAGTTAGAAAGGGATGTCGCTATGTGCTACATATAGCGATATCCCTTTCTAACTATGTTCAAGACTAGATCAATCACTGCGAATCTTTCTATAATACGGGCCTAAGAGAGAAAGCGATCATGCGGCCAATACCTATATGAACCACTGGCCGCACGATTTCGACCATTAATTCACTTTAAAAATAGAATGTTCAATCCATTCTGAGATAAATCGTTTATTTTCATGAACGGCACACATTTACAAAAAAAATAACAATCTAAAAATAAAAGCATATAAAAATTAAAGGTTCCTATAAAGTGTGCCGCAACGATACAAAATGGCTACAGCTCAGTGATGATTTTGCTCAGAGAGCAGACCACTGATTTTTACCTGTAACAAAGTACCTATATTATCCTTAAAACGGTTCTGGCGCTACTTCTCACACAAGCACAAAAAGCTAAATCAATATAAAACTATATAAACACAACATAATATATACAACATCCTTTATGTTGATCTACACGTACTGAACCCATCTTCTTTTTACGTATACACTTAATGAAGTGCTTGAGATTTTATCGTATTTATGTAAATAACCTTTTTTTGCACAGGATCCCACGAACGCACTCGCAGGCGCTCCCGCGACCGCCACTAGCTATTGACTGAGGTATCACAAAAGCGCCTTGAACCGGTAAGTTTATTGTTCCACGACAATCCTTATACTCCGCGATATTATCCCAATCATCGTCACAACACTACCTGTTTTGCAATCCACAACCACACCCGATCCGCTCGACAACTATGATTTATATACATGTAATTTATGTTCTTCCCGACGCATCCCCGCCCATGCATCCCGTACAATTGTTTATACGATGACAAGTAATAAAGTGAACACTATTGTTTTACAGCGTAATGTAGCATACCCAAAATAAAACTTCGGTATATGGCAAACATATGGGGCAGTATTGAGCCCAATGCACTCTCGATTCGGTAATTGTCGGCACACCGACGGATTTGGCAGGTATTTGATTGGTATTACGAATAGTTGCTGTGAGCTGTCGATCGAAGAGTTTCATTAGCTAATCATTTGAAAGATTAGGCTAAAACATCTCTCTTGGAATGACCGCATCGCATCGTCTCGTCGTCGTTTTGAGGTATTCCAACTTACTATGTTCTGCTGTCGTGTGCCCAGTCTTCTGGCGCCGATCGCACTAGCGATGCCAGGTATTTGTTAGGTTCCATCCGTGTCTAGAGAAAACCAAAATTTTACATCTCGATACATAACGAAATATTATTCACTGTCATCTAAAACTAATCTAATAAATATTAAAATAATTGGCAAATATGTACAAAATGAGGAGCTACGACAACATATTAGTTTTCTTGTACCAAATGTACCATTGATTTGCACTATCAATGGTGCAGATGAAACTAGTTAGTTTCGTTTGTTCCGTTAATATTAATACGACTATGCTTTTTCCATCATTAATAAAATAAAAAATCAATATAATGTTTTATTTGTTCATGTGTCGACCCACTCATAAAATAAATAATAAACTAAAAAAACAACCTACTTTTAACAAATCAATTTACAAATTAATATTTAAAAAAGAAATAAATGCCAAATTTAGCTGCATAAACAAATTCCAAATAATGTGTACATAACACATATCTATATGTACTGTAGTTTCGTTTGGAGCCTAAATGAAACTAATTAGTTTCATCTGCACCATTGATGGTGCAATACAATGGTGCATTCTGTACAAGGGGCACTTTAGGTCTAACTAAACTTAACACTAAAAAAAAAGTACACAAATAAACACCTAGTTGAATGTCGCCAACACCAAAAGTTATCACATTTAAATCGAATATGAGGTTTATTTGTTTTCTCAAATAGAAGTTGAGCCGCAGCGTTTTGTATGTCGTTTCATTGCCACCATACGATACCGTGTAACTGGATGTGAGGGGCACATTGTGCGTCGTATTTATTGGATGCTGTTTTCACGTCATCTGTGTACTTCCAGGTACCCAAACTTGTAACATGTGGCAACAAGTTCTAGAAGAATAATATCTCTATGAATGCAGCCAGCTAGTCAGTCAAGTGCACAATGCATTTGACTGATTTTTTTAGGAACTTGATGCCATATTTATTCGAAAATTTATTCAATACCCCTAAGCCCTAATGGAAGAGAACTTTTAATGATTGACGGCCAAACTTAAAATCAATCGCCAATATTTTTTTATATTTGATCAAAGTTGATGCTGTCTGTTTTTGCGAAGCAAGCATTAAGATGACAACACGATACATTCTCAAGCATTAAATTTTGTTTTCAAGTTTTGTTTTCTGAAAATTAATATTTTTAAAATGTTCTTAGCCTGTCTTCATTTTCTCTCATTAAAAGATTGTGTCAATCATTGAAACGGTTCTTTTTCCCGACGTCTTGTTTAAGTTCTTCTTACCAGCTTGCTCGATGGACTTTTCAGTTGACAACCAGGGGAAGATCGATCACCGCATCAGCCACAAAAAGAGGTATTTTTGACATTATACCAACCCTGGAAGACCCAAGACATCCGGATTATGCGCGTCAACGGTTACCGAGGTGACATAGAATAGTCACACATAACAATAAGATTGTAATTAATGTTAATGTCTAAAATCGTTTGTTTAATACGAATGCATGTAGTCCGTCGTGTATTCGCATACACGACGGACATTTTTTTTTCGCTTAGACCAATAAGACAATGTATTTCGATGTAGCTACCTCTGATGTTTGTTCTCTAGGAAGGTCACTGTTATTTCTGTTAACCAGATCTGAGGAGACGATCAGGTATTTATAAAATAAAAATATTCTCTTATTTTCATAAACAATAATGTGTTATTGATTTCGCTTTGTGTTATTTTAGTGTGAATGATAGGGTATATATTTGGAGGATTAAATATGATACTACATGACAATTAGTTTCTTTTCCCTATACTATGTAACAATCGAAGTGTAAAGGCATAGTCACGTAGAGTGCTATCAAGATCATGTGCCGCGAGGCCGAAATCGGAACTTATATTAAGAAAGTATAAATAAGCTTTTTATTTACAGAGGAATGTGTAAGTAAGTATTTTAAAGGAGACAGTTCAAAAGTGGTAGTCGGTTTCTAGCAGCGATGAAACATAATATCTTAAATACAATAATTTTAAAACGTGTTTGAAAATTGGACCATTTCGTAAGGATGCTGGCCACCCTGTCATAAGTTACGTAAGTCAACTCAATCACTGTTAAATGTTAATCAGTCCAGTCATGCCCGATATTCGTAAAATAGTAGTGAAATTATTATACCAATTTGATCTTTCTTGAAACTCAATACCTAATGATATAATGACAGATGAAAGGAATCATTATCACTGTTTTAGTTGCATAATAAATAGAATACATTTGATGCTTTGGCAACAAACATTTCATAAATAACCTTGCCAATTACCAATCAATAACTATGTCATTTCAAATAATAATAATATTTATTTTAAAAACGGTGATAAAATAAATTCATGTTAATGCCAAACGATTTACAATTAAGTGCACTACATGTCATAAAAATTTGGAGTCTGCCGGAGACTGACTACCACCCTCTTTACAAATTTGAACCACCAACACCAACAGCGCCCTACTGTCAATCTCTTAAAAGTATCACAAGGTCTTTTTTTTTCAATTTTAATTTTATGTCAAGGTTTTGATCGTACTGTATCCATAGAATCACATCATTATTATGTATCTTCCTTTTTTATTAACCTTGCTGTGCAGAGAATAATCACTATAAAAGGCATCATTAAGTTTAGCATTTTCCTGACATAAAAGAATCTTGTTATTAGTATTCGTAATGTCATCTTCAACAGATTTTAATGTGAGAAAAACTAATTTTGAAAAGGTATATAAATGCCAACCCTAATCTCTTTTCACTAGATTCCGAGTAACATCACAAAACTTTCCTCAAACATACTAATATTTGGAACTAGACTGCAGATGAATCCGAAAAGTCGACAGAAAGCTGCAATAATTTTAGCAGTTGCTTTTCGGTAAAGTTTCCTTTCGTGTCTATTAGTCTGTGCAAGCTTGGCGGCTGTGTAGGTCTGAGTTTCCCATTTAATCCCTGACTACTTATTTAAACTCGATTCTTATATTTACCGTTTGTGCCCTTTTAGAGTTCTCCTTCCTTCTAGAGGTATAGTCCTTTTAGAGGAGCTCGATGGCGCAGGTGGTTAGCGCGTTCGGCTGGTCGGTCATTGGATGGGTGACCAAAAATCTACTATCTCGAGTTCCTCCGTGCTTCGGAAGGCACCGGCTGCACCTGCAGTCGTTAGCACCCGCCAATACGCACTGGACCCGCTTGGTGTGTCATAGCCCACTCTTCCTATTCCATCCATAGCGAAGGCCTGTGCACCAGCACAGATTTATAAAAATATATCCCTTAGAAAGGAAAAAATTAACCTCATGGACTCTCTTGACATATATAATACAAAATTACATGAAAGTAGGCAGATGTATGACCGAGATACAAAGAAATTACTATTAGAAATTCAAAATTTACATGAGTCGTTAGAATCAATTAAACATAAATATGCTAGTGCACAAAGTCAAATAACGGAGCACATAAAATCTGCAACAGAATTAGTTGAACTGTGCAATTTCAACGCAGAACGTTATGACTCGTTGATTAAAAGTCAATTGATTGGTTCTTCAAATCAATCATCATTGTCATTAGCTTTAGAAGAAAATGGTAATATAGATAATAATCAAGTTTCCCAAATTTCTGGTCATTCATCAGTCTATTTACAAAAAATTGGCACAACATATAATAATTCTCCTTTCAAGCCAGCGCTTTCTGAAAACTCAAAGTTGAATAAAAATAAAACAATTATATTCTCAGACAAGTTAGGTCAGGGGCTAGGACTATTAGTAAAAAATTACAGCGAGGAAAATATTATAAATATATGTACTCCTGGAAAATCATTTAATGACATTGTTAATAATTTGACCTACCATAATGTGGATAGTTATACGAACCTCTTGTTTTTGTGTGGTGACAGTTCCAAATTATCAATACGGGACATTACAAAAAGTATTGAGCACTTATTAAAAATACAATCTAAATCAAATTGTAAAATAATAATTAGCGCTTTCCCATATGCACATAACTTATCTAGGGAACAGAACAAGCGCATCTTTAATTTAAATTTAAGTATTTATAATTTAATTAATAGTCATAGTGACGTATGTTTATATTTTGATATAAATAAATATATTAGATATTTTAAGTTGACTACAGATACTATGTATCTCGCAAAGAGATTTAGGACCCAGATAGCTAATTTGTTAGCTTTTAATATACAAAATACGGTTATACATGGTATAACTAACCCTATTCAACAAAATAGTGTTAGTATTTCTAGTAAAAGAAATATTAACTCTATTAACAATTTAACCAGCCCAGTTTTAAACTGAGCTTAAAGACAACAGCCAAACCTAATAAAAGCATTATTAATATTATTCATCAAAATATACAAGGTTTGGCTGGCAAAGACCTAGAATTAGAATTGTATTCGAAAAGTGAGGACATACACATTATATGTTTAACGGAACACTGGCTCAAGCTTTGTGAAATGTCTTATCACATAAACAATTTTCAGTTGTTGAGTGCTTATGTTCGAAAGACAGCCATACACGGCGGCTCATTGATTTTTGTCAACAAAAATATTAGATGTAAGGATAGAAAGGATATAGCTGGCCTTTCAATTGAACGTAGCATTGAGCTATCTTGTGTGGAACTAAATAAGATGATAATAGTATGCGTATACCGACCCCCTGTAGGTAACTTTAACATTTTTGAATCTGTAATGGAGGATGTACTGAAAAAGTTAAAGTCAAAAAATAAGTTTTTGGTTGTTTGCGGTGACTTTAATATTAATATTCTTGAACAAAATTCAATGTCAGTACGTATAATATCACTATTTAAATGTTTTAATTTGATCCATCAATTTTTTGAGCCGACTAGGGTGACATCACATTCGGCAACTTGTTTGGATAATGTATTTACAGATAGTACTCCTGATAGTAAGTCTATTTTTAATAGTATTACATCTGACCATTATGGCTTAAAAATACAATATAAAATAGATGTAAAAAATGAAACCAAAGTAATTGAATTGAGACCAGTAACAGAAAACAGGTTAGAAAATTTTCAAAAAAACATTGATGATAGGATTTCTCATATCCCATGGACACATGATGATCCTGATATTCTTTTTGGGGATCTTTTTAATCTAATAAGGAATGAATTCGATAAGGCTTTTCCCTTAAAAACTTCGAAACTTACTCAGAAGTTACAGTTCTGTGATTGGGCTACGACTGGTATCTATAAAAGTAGAAACAAACTTTATGAATTGTATCATCTGAGAAAATATAATCATTCACAAAGTTTTATTGATTACGTTAAATGTTATTCTAAAACCTTCAAAAAGGTATGTGCAACAGCCAAATCTAATTTTATTAAAAATAAAATATGTAAATCGAATAATAAAATCAAAACAACGTGGAATGTTATAAATCGTGAAACAGGCAAAGAAAGGCCACGTGACGATATTATTGAAATTAAGTCCAATAATATTCTAATAAAATCTAAGGAACATATCGCTAATATTTTTGATGATTATTTCGTTAATGTTCCTTTGGTGGCTACATCTAATTTGAGCTCTTCAACGGTGGCTGCCAAGACATTGCTCGAGAAATATGTACCTAAGTGTGATAACGTGTTTCAGTTTAGACATATTAGTTTTATTGATGTTATTAAGTGTTTTAAATCTCTTAAACAAAAAAATACAAGTGATTTATGGGGTATTTCTACTAAAGTTATTAAAAGTATAATACCCGTTATTGCCCCTTATCTAGTTGATATATTTAATAACTGTATTGATCAAGGCGTATTTCCGGATTCGATGAAATACAGTAAAGTTATACCTCTTTTTAAATCAGGAAATAGAAGTGAACCTGGAAATTATAGGCCTATATCAATATTACCGGTTCTAAGTAAAATATTTGAGAAAATTATTCTGGAACAATTAATGCCTCATTTCAACCTAAATAAACTTTTGCATAGGAAACAATTTGGTTTTACCAGAGGTAGATCTACTACTGACGCGGGTGTTGCACTTGTAAGGAGTATATTGGAGGCTTGGGAGAGGTCGCAGAATGTTCTTGGAGTGTTCTGTGACTTATCCAAAGCTTTTGATTGCGTTGATCATCACACGCTGTTATTAAAATTAAGTCATTATGGAGTCAAAGGTACTGCATATAAATTAATACAGTCGTATCTCAGTTCCAGAATTCAAACTGTAGAGGTAAATGGTGTTAGATCATCTGGATCTCATGTGGAAATGGGCGTTCCCCAGGGTTCAATTTTGGGTCCCTTTCTGTTTCTAGTATATATAAATGATTTGCCATTTTTTGTAGAAAATTTGTGTGAGATAGTATTATTTGCTGATGACACATCTTTATTATTTAACGTTGACAGGCGCAAGAACAACTATGACGATGTTAATAATGCTCTCTCGCAAGTTTTGCAATGGTTTAATGTTAATAATCTAAAGCTAAATGCTAATAAAACCAAGTGTATTAAATTTTCTTTACCTAATGTAAAAGTCGAACATATTGAAATTAAATTAAATAATAATAAATTAGATTTAGTAGACTCAACTACATTCTTGGGTATAACTATAGACTCAAAACTGCAATGGAATCATCACACTACGCTTTTGGCTGGTAAACTTAGTTCAGCAGCTTATGCCATAAGAAAGATAAGACAACTTACTGATACAGAAACTGCCAGGACTGTATATTTTAGTTACTTTCATAGTATCTTATCATACGGCATTATACTCTGGGGAACAGCAGCTGATATTGAAAGTATATTCATTCTACAAAAAAGAGCTGTGAGATCTATTTATCAATTGAGTAGCC